TTGGGTTAACTGATTTGTCCAGGGTTTAGGGGAATTAGGGCCAATCAAAGGCCTCAGTAAATACCTCTGCTTTTTTTCTTTTATCTAGGAGTTTGAGGATCCTGCCTGTTTGCTTTTACAACCATAGGTAGAGGGAATTCTTTCCTTTTGTAGTTAGCATTACAGTACTCATTATTCAGATTTTGGTGCCTTAGAAATTACTGGACGGACCCCTCTCTAAACTTTCTACTCAAGACTTTTTTTTTTTTTGGCAAATGTTAGGTGATTTGAGTTCACCATCATGCAGAAATAAAAAGGAATAACATTCCAAGTTGCCTTCTCTTAATTTTGCTATCTCTGACTGTTTCATTATCTATGGCTGTATAATCATCTTAAAACTTAATGGCTTAAAGTAACGATTTCTCATGATTCTGAGCAGTTCCTTTGTTGATTGCCTCTGGCCTCATTTTTGCAGCTGTCTTGTGCTAGTAGGTCAGCTGGACTGAAAGTTCCGAGATGGCTTCATTTTTAGCTTACTGTCAGCTGAGGCCACTTGGTTCTCCTCCATATCGCCTCTCATCCTCCAGTAGGCCAGACCACTTCTTTTCCTGGTGGTCTCAGGGCAGCAATCCTAAAGAGCAAAAGCTGCAATGCGCCCTAAAGCCTAGCCTTGGAAGTTACTTCACGTCACAATATTTGTCAAAGCAAATCACAAGACCCATCTAGATTTCAAGGGTGGGGAAATAGACTCCATCTCTACATGTGAGGAGTGACATAGTCACATTGCAAAGAAGGGTACATACCAGGATAAAAGGAACTTATGCCCATTAAACAATCGACCACAGTGATCTTCCACACAGAATTTAAGCCAGAAACTTGGGTGTAATTCTTCTCTCACTCTCTAATTTTACTTACTAAATTTCTCTCAAATCCATCCACTTATTCTTAATCCCTTATTCAGGCTACCATCCTCTCCCTCCTTAGAAATAGCCTTTTGGTTCACCCTTTGAATGAGCAGAATTTAAATGGTTGGCTTTGACAGCTTCCCAATAGCCTAAACCAGAAATTACTCATTTTAAATTCTTCTTTTGCCCAGCCTGGGTGCCTCAGTGGTTGAGCATCAGCCTATGAACCAGGAGGTAACAGTTGGATTCCCAGTCAGGACACATGCCCAAGTTGTGTGCTCGATCCCCAGTAGGGGGCGTACAGGAGGCAACCGATCCGTGATTCTCTCTCATCATGGTTGATTCTCTCTCAGAGCTTTTCCCTTCCTCTCTGAAGTCAATAAAAATATATTTTTAAAAAAATTCTTCTCTCACTCTCTGAATCCAATTAGTCATCAAACCCTTAAAAATCTCCAAGCCAATCCACTTAATCCTTTCTCCACTTAGGTACTACCTAAATTCAAGCCACCATCTCTGCTTGCCTGGACTTACCACACCAGCTTCCTTAACTGGTCTCCCCATCTCTTTCCTCCCTTTTCAATCCAGTCTCCACAATGCATCCAAAGTCATCTTTCTGGAACTTAGCTGTCCTTATTAAAATTCTTCAGTGGCTCTCTGGTGCCTTTTTTTTTGAGAGAGAACATTTATTGGGTAAATTAGAGGTATAAAAAGTAATTTCTAGAATAAATGGGCTTAGCAAACAAGTTATAGAGGTAATGGGAGAGAAAGGAAAGGCATTGGTATGCTCCCAGATTGCTTTTAAGATGATCTGTCCTCCTTCACTTTCCTTAACAAGGCCTGTTGACCTGATACTTGTCTATCTAGACTTAATTCCCAGTGTGTTTACCTCTTGTGGGAGAGCAAAAATGTAGAGATGTTCTCCCTGATCAAGCCTAAAGTAAGGTGTTTAAAAAATACAAGACTTAACTTATCATCCATTTCCAGATTTGCAAAAGCAGGTATATAGTACTCTTTCCGCGATCATCATACTTTATGCTGTATTACACAGACCCCCAATCTTAACTGCACCATATGGCTCTGTGTATGTGTCTGTACTCCACTGTCTCTGCTCCCATGGTAATTAGAATGTAGCCGAAGGGAATACAGGAACTATTTTATATAGTGCCTTACATGTACTTGTTCATTTATATCCCTCTGAAGTGTGACTAGCTTCCTAGTTATTTATTCCTTGCAATTAAAGTCATCAGGATATCTAGTTTGTGTAGAGCAGTGAGTGTAGAGTGGTAATGAACCCCGACTCCTACAAATACAAAAGGACTGAAAATACAAAGGGAGTCCTGAGCAATCCCCCTTGTTGAACTGTTTTGACTTCCCTTAGATTTATTTGTCTCTTCTTTAATGACTAGTGTTTTTAAGAAAAGACAGCAATAAAATCCTTGAAAATGAAAAGGGAGGTGTGTGTGAGGATTGTTGAAAAACACTTAGAAGTTAGAAAAACTGCATTTCACATTTAGCCTGAGGGAGTGCAAAAGACCAGGTGGAATAAGTAGTTTTCAGTAATAAAAATGAACCAAATATCTGTAACCTAACCTGACATTGAATAAAAAGAGAATAAGAATATCTCAGCTCCTTGAGGTTGAGCTAATGAAATGAATAGAGAATTTAGTTCCCACTTTAATTCACACCTCTGAGTCCTTACACTAGACAAGTTGAGGTTTTATCACTGTCTATGCCTCTGAATAGCTCTAATTTAAAGCAGTCACAGTTATCAGTATTTCAATGAGGTAACAATTGGGAGAATAGAAAGTGACTTAATATGAAAATACATTCTGAGTATGATTAAGCAATAGAAAAGTTAATATTTTAGTATGGCCTAAGGGAGCTGTTTCTAGAGTGCCCCAGGACTCAGTGGTATTCAATTCTTCATTCAGCTCATGTATAATTTTCTACATTCAGAAAGGCACTATACTAACAGCAGAATAGATGATACTGTGTATCATTGATTCTGAAAATTTTAACTCCTTTTCTTCAAAAGTTAACATCTGGATCAGTCTTATTTCAGTGGGTAACACAGTTATAATTGTCAGCATTTTTGCTGTTATTCTTAGTGGTCCATACAACAATGGTGCATCATGGATTCTGGGAAACATAGTAGTTAATAACAGCAGTTAAGGGGTTTGCAGGCAGGCCAGGATTAGAATCTTGATGCTGCCACCTATTGTTTGCTGTGTTGTCTTAGACAAATTACTGTCCTAAGTCTCTGTTTACTTCTCTATAAAATGGAGATAATACCTTCTTCTTAGGGTATTAAGATTAAATAAAATGATGATGTGAAGTGCTTAATAAGTGGTGTACGAGCTTGATGTTTCTTGTATTCATTTTCATAAGGTTCATTTATTTAGTCTCAAATTTACAATCTTTTCGAAATTATGTGAGAAGCCTATTATTTTTCTTAAAGGCCAGTATCAATGTATAATGCATGGAGGAGAGAATGGAGTCTTAGCATGTCAATCCTACTTTGAATTGGGGAAAGTTAAACTGTTAACCATTTGTATGCTATAAGCGTCTATAGGCGCAAGCGGCGGACCTTTTTTAATTAAATTCAAAATATCGTGGCAGTTAACTGGTGAAATGGTTAACCCAATCAGGGTTATCCTACCCCAGTGGTCAGCAAACTCATTGGTCAACAGAGCCAAATATCAACAGTACCACGATTGAAATTTCTTTTGAGAGCCAAATTTTTTAAACTTAAACTATATAGGTAGGTACATTGTTATTAACTTAATTAGGGTACTCCTAAGGCTTAGGAAGAGCCACACTCAAGGGGCCAAAGAGCCGCATGTGGCTCGCGAGCCGCAGTTTGCCGGCCACAGTCCTACCCTATCCTTAGAATCTACGTCTTTTTTACAGGTGTGGCTACTTATTTTAAAATTTAATATTTGACCTTAATGTGCACATTTAAATGCTGTTTAGTTTTTGGTAATAAAAAGATAAGTAGGCATAATTTTGAACTCCTCTTCTGTATTTTTAGCATTTAGTGTTTATCTTGAAGTGCTTAAAAATATGTTCTAATGTCCTCAGATTCAAAGCTTGAATCTGCCAAACCATTGGTAGAAGAACCAGAAAAAATTTCACTCATGAAGCTCAAGATACATTGTATCTCCCATACACTTATCCTCTGTCCTATGTCTAAACAATGATTAAAACATAAGTAGTGGGTTTTTTTTACCCTCACTCGTGGATATGTTTTTCATTGATTCTACAGAACGAGGAAGGGGGGGGGGGGAGAATAAATATCAATTGGCTGCCTCCAGGACTCACCCTGACCGGGAATCGAACCCACTACCCTTCGGTGCAGAGAACGATGTTTTAATCAACCCATAGTGTTTTGTAGTTATTAAGTATACTTTCACAGTGGAAGGTGGCAGTAATGCTAACATTTATTAAGTACCCACTCTGCTTTTTCTCCTTTGCTCGTCAAAACTCTGAGATTCCTATTCAGAAACTCAAAAGTTAGGTTGCTCTGTGCTGGATTTAAATCAAGATGTTGTCAGACTTCAGTACATGTTTTGTATAGTCATGCCACCTGTCAGTAGGTGCTCAATAAATGTAAGAATAAAATCAAGTAGTACGATCGCATGATTATTCATTTGAGGAGTTCATTATAGCTGAAAAGTAGAATGGAATTGGAGAAGTAATTAGAGGTACAGCTGTCAGTGACCATTTAAAAGCCACTGAGGCAGGAAAAGATTTGAGAGCTCTATAAGAAACAAAATTATCAAAACTTGTTAACTAATTGGTTGTAAGAATGGTGAAAAGTATGCAATCTGGAATGACTGACCTGGGCAACTTCCTGGTCAGGGAAAATGGTACCATTTTTACTGAATTACATTGGGTAGGAATAGATTTAAGGAGAAAAGGGTAAGTTTCATTGTTGGATATTTCGGGGGAGGGGGTTGCTTTGTTTTTTGTTTGTTTTTTCACTGTTGGAGATTTTGAATTTGTAGTGCCTTTTGCAACATCTAAATGAGACATCAAGTAGGCTGTTGGTGTTGGAAGCTTGCCATTCAAGAAAAAGACTTGGGAGTTTTCAGTAAATCAGTATTTAAAGCCATGCAGGAGAAAAAGTTGCTTATGAAAGTATGTACACCAAAGAGAGAACCAAAAATAGAAATGGCAAACAATAACATTTAAGAAATGCATAGAAGAGGAAGGAGGAAGGGGCAACTGGAGGAGAACAGATTTGAATACCTTTGTATTACTGATTTGGGGCAAGTTTAGTTGAGTGGTAAAATCAGAAACCAGACTAGAGTAACATTGTAGAAATGGTGGAATGTGGGGAGAACAATTAGAATCTAGGGCTTGGATACACAGAAGAATTACCATTACTGGTAAAATTAAGTCCCTGTGTATATGGCAAAGGCTAGAATCTGAAGCACAGGTAGAGGGATTGAGTTTAGACATATACAAGTATGCCCCATGTACTGAAACATGAAAGAAGAATGGGTGAGGGAAACAGACTAATATTTTTGAAAGCCTGCTCTTGCCAGTCATTCTGATTGATTACATAAGTCATTTCATTTTTTAACTGCAAACTATTTTATGTAGGAAGTACTGCTCTTTGCTTTATCAGTGAGAAAATTAATGCTTAGTGAGGTTGTCTTGTCCTTTGTCACACATTTTGTAAGTGGTGGAGCTAGTACCTAAACTCCAAAGTTTTATTTCTGATGTGCTCCTATTCTTTCCCATTCCCCTTTCCACTCTTCCTCTCCTACATGTGAGTGAAGATAATCCTGTAGGATGTAGTCGGGATCAAGAATAGAAGTTAATGTTACTCCATAGACCCATATAAACAGGTATTAAGTTTTTTAATATAATGGAAATTTGTTTTTAAAAACTATTGAATATTTAATAAAAGATATTATATGCAATATACATATCTAAAGAGATAATATATCTTTTAACCCATATTTTAGCTAAATGTGAATGATGACACATTTTTAAGAAAAAAAAGTTATGTGGGGATGAGTAAGGGGGAACAAAGACTCATATAAGGTTATGGAGTAACTTATCTCCAGTGTGTTAGATTTTGACAATCCTGGTTTCTCTCTTTTGGGAAACTTTATAATGTAAATATGGAATTAAGTTTTATTTCTGTTTTTTATTTTCAGATGTCTGCCTTCGGGGCAGAGTTTTCATCAGAGGCTTGCAGAGAGTTAGGCTTCTCCAGCAACTTGCTCTGCAGCTCCTGTGATCTTCTTGGACAGTTCAACCTGCTTCAGCTGGATCCTGACTGTAGAGGATGCTGTCAGGAAGAAGCACAATTTGAAAACAAAAAGGTATTGTTTTCTAGTATCTCTCTCCCATTACATCAGTGGTTCTCAACCTTCTGGCCCTTTAAATACAGTTCCTCATGTTGTGACCCAACCATAAAATTATTTTCGTTGCTACTTCATAACTGTAATGTTGCTGCTGTTATGAATCGTAATGTAAATATCTGATATGCAGGATGGTCTTAGGTGACCCCTGTCGAAGGGTCGTTCAACCGCCAAAGGGGTCGCGATCCACAGGTTGAGAACTGCTGCATTAGATGGTTTAGTTAAGATAAGGTAGAATACTAAATCAGCTTGAATATATATAAAGAAGTCTTCGGCTTTTACATTTTGTAGTTTTAGAAACTCAAATGGATTTCTTTCCTGTCCCATTAGATCAAAACAAACAGGAAGGAAAAGTATGATCACATGCCAAGACCCCATGCTATCATGTAGTCCTGCAGAGGGGGAGCAGAATTACTATAGCATGCTTGGATCCTGAAGCTCCCCATTCTTTCCAAAAGGTGGCCACATGAAGTCAAAGAAATAATTAATCAGATGCTTTTATTCAAAAATCAGTTTTATAATGAAATTTGGGATGAAAACAAAACACCCATTACCTGGCACAAAATTATAGAAAAATTACAATTTTTAATCTGGTTAACAAATATGATCTGTTAATTTACACACATGTTACTAGTATTGCCAGGCACAACCTCACCTTTAACACCAAGGTTAGGTAGCTCTAACTGTTCAATAAAATCTGCTATGTTTTGACCCACTGTTGAAATTAATAGTTAACTTCCTTAATTTTTTTTAATGTTATTGGACATGCATTTATTTAAAATATCCTAAATATTTACAAAAGTAAATCAAGTATCGCTTCTGTTTTTCAAGTGTCAAAGTCAACTACTTCTTCACAGTATATAGGTTTACAATAAGAGGTATGCATACAACCATATACACACATTTTGCATAGGAATGGTTCTAAATATACATGTAAAGAACCTAACACTGAAGTATTATGCCCTACTAGCCACTCCATAGTGCCAGATGTGTCACTATACAGAAACAGATGTAGGTGTACAAGCATTATCTAACATTCAAATTAGTGCTCGTTATCCAAGATGACATCTTCATGAGGGATGCCCAGTTTAATGTTTCTAGGCAAGATAGTAATTCTTAGTCCATGTAAATCATTAGTTCAACAGCCTTATTCATTGAAAATATACAGTGAACTTAAAATATTTTTCAATAAATTAAAAAACTTTAATTGTTAAATCTTTTTTATTACAGTCCTTAGATTTCTTTACATTGTAAAGAACCCTGAAAAGATCATTTATGTAATTCAAATAAAACTGAATTAGTGAGATCTCTGTGTTTGGGGATGAGTGAAAAAAATGGTGGCATCTCTATGTTTCCTTTTCATATTCTTTCACTTATACATAGTGAGGTGTTAACATACATTTAAGGATTAACGGTTTGTAAAGCTTTCAGACAGTAATTGTATCTTCTCATTATTAGGAAGTAAAAGTTTATTTCTAAAACTAAATACAGTTTATAGTTCTAAAGAAAAATAAGCAGAAAAACTTTTAAAATGTTAGTATTCAACCATAATTTAATACTTGATTTCTCGGTTTTCAACCTGAAATTTCCAGTGTTCCAAAACTGGCTTTCAAGTCTGTGTTTTTCATTTTCTTGTTTCAAATATACCAATAATATAGTTTAATGTTTAGAACATTTCCATAATATGTTAGTCGTTTTGCCTGAAAATAAAATTTAAACAAGTTTACACGGGACTTAGTTTAGTAGGACATTTCCCCCTTGTTTTTTTTTGTTTTTTGTTGTTGTTGTTGTCGTTTTTTGGGATTTCGATGGGATAAATTGCTGAAGGAATCTGTATGAGTCAACCTCTCATCTTTAAGCTATTATTCTATGGTTTTCCAAGGTCTGTGCACTGTTCAACCAACAGTTATTATTTCCCGAGACACAAAATTTCAAGGATTGAATAACAAGGGGTGCTCTATAATAAACAATTTTTACGACACACACTCCCTTATAATTAAAAGTCAGTTGAGAGGTTCTGCCCTTTGACTGAAATCAGATGTGCCCAAACTATAAACTAAGTGCATAGAAACGTTATTTTTACTTATTGCCCTTTCTCAGTAGTATTTTTAATCTAACACTTGATAACAGATTTCAGAGGTTTAAGAAAGTTTTAGAAAAGAGAAACTTTTAAAAGTTATTTTTTTTTAACTCTACAGGTTGAGAAGAGATTTCTTTTATTTGAATTTTGGAACATGTTGGTCTCATTCACAGAATACCAGTAGAAGTCTAGCCTGCAGATCCCCAAATTATATCATAACTGGTTCTGGCAAATAGCCCAATAGTTCAGGTATTCGCCATAGGGCTTTTTCTTTCTTTCTTTTTTCACTTAAAAATCTACTTTATAGATAATACTAAAACATAATAAAAGTATTCTCAGTAATTATTATAAATCATTAGATTCGAATAAGTGGACCTAAATACGTAGGGTATAAAATAATTTTAAGAATATAGTCAGATCCTCTCCACTTCTCATCCTATTACCTAGTTGGAGTTAGACTAATGCTAATTGGCCAGCTTTATATAGTAGCATTCCCATTTTCTATGTGTATCATATTCTGCCTTCACATTTACCTGCACTGCAACAAAGCCAGAGAGTACAGAGGTAATACTATCATGTGGATAGTTCAGTGGAAGTTTATCCCTTTCTCTCCTGTTATAAGAGTTTTTGAAGAGTTCGTTTTCATCTCAGCTTCCTTGCTTACTAGCTTTGTGACTTCTAGCCAGCAAATCATTCCAGAATTTTTAGTTTTGTTATAATAATTACATTATCTCATATTTGAGTGTTTCTTTTACCTTGGTTATGTGTTGAAGTGTTATCTACTTAATCCTCACAATAACTATAATGTAAATACTATTATCCTATCTAATAAAAGAGAAACATGGTAATTAGCCGTACGGCCGATACCCTTCCCATTGGCTAATCAGGGCGATATGCAAATTAACTGCCAGCCAAGATGGCGGCCAGCAGCCATGCACTGAAGCGAACAGGGAGGCTTGCTTGCTCCAGTGACTGCGGACTCCAACGATCCCCGCCTGACTTGCCGGCCTCTCAGCTGCAACTCTAAGCAACTATGTTGCAAATATAGAAGCTAAACAAAACCCCAGAAACCTGCTTTATTCAGCCGGGCTTCAGCCAGCCGGACCGCAACATTGTATCAAATACAGAAGGTAAACAAAGGCCAGAAACCTGCTTTCAGCAGCCGAGGCCTCAGAGCTAAAGCTGGCCCAGAATAAAAAAAAAAAAAAGAAAGAAAGGAGCGGTTGGGAGCTTCAGTCACCCGCCAGCCAGACTGGCCAGGCACCCCAATGGGGACCCCCACCCTGATCCAGGACACCCTTCAGGGCAAACCAGCCGGCCCCCACCCATGCACCAGGCCTCTATTCTATATAGTAAAAGGGTGATATGCCTCCCAGCACCGGGATCAGCGTGACAGGGGGCAGTGCCCAAACCCCCTGATCGCCCTGCGGCTCTGTGTGTGACAGGGTGCGGCGCCCCAACCCCCTGATGGGCCCTGTTCTGTGCATGACAGGGGGGAGCTCCCCAACCCCCGATCAGCCCTGCTCTGTGCGTGACAGGGGGTGGCGCCGCAACCTCCCCATCGACCCTGCATTGAGTGTGACAGGGGGCGGTGCCCCAACCCCCCAATTGACCCTACCCTGAGCGTGACTAGGGGTGGCATCACAACCTCCCGATCGGCCCTGCTCTGTGCATGACGGGGCAGCGCCCCAACTCCCCAATCGGCCCTGCTCTGAGCCCGACCAGGGGCTGCACCTAGGGATTAGGCCTGCCCTCTGCCACCCGGGAGCGGGCCTAAGCCAGCAGGTCATTATCTCCTGAGGGGTCCCAGACTGCGAGAGGGCACAGGCCGGGCTGAGGGGCCCCCTCTCCCCACCGAGTGCACAAATTTTTGTGCACCAGGCCTCTAGTCTATATATATAAAAGGCTAATATGCAAAGTGTCCTCTCGGGAGTTTGACCGGGAGTTTGATCACTTGCTATGACATGCACTAACCACCAGGAGGCGCTGCGGAACGAAGGAAGGCCCTGACCAGCAGCCAGAAGGCCCCAATCAGCCCTGATCGTCTGCCAGGCCTAGGGACCCTTCCCTTCATAAATTTCATGCACCAGGCCTCTAGTTTGTATATAACAGAAGAGAAAACTAAGGTATAATCTGCCCAAAGTTACCCAACAATTGGGTGCCACATCTTGGCTTTATCTCAGGTTATTTGACTCCAGAGCTCCAAGCTTTTAAACCTCTACACTGTTTTGCCTCTCATCTTGAAAATGTTAATAGTAACTGTAAAAAAAAATGAATGAGTTAAATGGAAAACACCAGATTAGCTCTCTGAAGGTCAGCATTTATAGTTCATTTTGTTAACATAATTCCTTCACTACTTCTTATTTAAAATTATCAGATACTTTCAGGGGGGAGGGGGCCCAATGGGGGAAAAAGAAAGGGGGAACATCTGTAATACTTTCAACAATAAAAATAAATTTTTTAAAAATAAGTCATGTAACTTTTCTCAGTTCTGGTAAAAGAACCAAAACATTTAGTTACTTTCAGTTTATTTGGAAATTCTGTAGCCAATTTAAGAGTAATTTAGAAGTCAGCTTAAACAGCATTATTCAAGATAGTAGTAAATTTTAAGCTTCAGCCTATCAGAAATAGAATGCTATTAGTGTGTAAAACATAAAAGAATGAAATGAAAGTTAAGCTAACTATGCATGAAATTGTAGCCACTAAAGAAATTTCACAGTTGTTAAAATAGCTGCACTTCTTTGTATTGTCTGTAGTATCAATACATGAACTAATTTCTTCAAAGGAAACTAAATATAAATGTCTTCAACAGATTATTCTAATTATAATATAAAAACATTCTCAAAGAAGCTTTTTTTAATTATCTAAATAATGTTTGGCA